GATTAATATCGTGCTAATTCAAGATGATGTAGGTAGACGATCAGAGTAATTCATTTGGGGAGAAGAATAATAAGATATTCCCAAGTTCTGTTCACATCCCAATTTCTACACACTGCCTTTCTTCTATATAATTCTATACGTAATTTTAGATTACTGATATATAAGAAAAATGATTTATAAAAAAATATGTATGTAATATACATAAAAATACATAAAATATGGAATGTTAAGGGCATATCATAATAATTGATAATTATAAAAAGCAATTCGATCCATACGTAAGTTGTCAAATTGATACCATAAAAGTAGTATTTTGCAAAAAAATTAGCAGTAATAATATAATATTTTGTGTCAAAGAACAGGTAGAAGAGAGAATAATATATTTTAGTGACAGAAACGATAATTACAAAATGAAATCAATGTACTAAAAGCATAATTGTGTAAAATTATTATACAAGGTGTCTCAGTATTGATGGTCCAACCGTAAAGTGAATGATTGTACATGAGACAATAAATCGGAAATATGTAATAACTTTTTTTATTTCAGGCTTTATTCTCCAGAAAATGGACTATGAATTTTCTCCTATGCTTGCGGTTCCGAGAGTCTAGGACTGTTTCGCGCAGCTTGGAAAGTGGTGGGGATCGCAGCGAACTCCCTCCACACGGTTCAGTACCAGGGTTCGTATAATTTTTCCCGCACGGCTCGCTCCCCCTCTTTTTCGCCTGTATTTCGATCCCCATTACTATTCTCCTCATGCGCCTACGCTGACCATACCTAGCATACCCCCATCAAGTACCAGTCCCTACCATGGGCGCGTCGTCCCCACTTTCCGGCCGAGGGAAAAATTATACGATCCCTAGTCAGTACACATGGTAAAACATTGAGATGCGAAGAACGATCAAAAACTGAACTGTGCTCGGTCCTATATAGGCTCTCGAGTATAGTACGCATGCACTTGGCTATGTCCATGACAATTACCGGCTTCACGGTTGTACCATCAATATTGAGACACCGTGAATTTAATTATTTTATCGGAATCAAAAAGAATTGATTAAAAGCCTTTGTACTTACTAGTCCCAAAGGCGGTCCCATTTGTTTCTGAGGAAACTAAACGCGAGGGGCTGCCCGATCGGGTTGCTGACAATAGAATTGAGAACACGACTGGCATCCTGTTTTCTGATCCCGGAATTCTCGGTAATGGTCCAATCCAAGTAACGATTCAACAGCCACAACTCCCGTGTACAACCAAGGGCATGCAGAAGAAGATCTTTCTCGGAACCGACATTTGTCTCCTGATATTGCCTCCAAGCGAAGTCCCACTCTGCCTGTCCACCGACTCGAATCGCCGTACAATAGACGACCATTTTCAAATTCGGCGAGATTCTAAAATCAGTTTCAACGTTTAATTAGTACATCGATTACACAAACAAAAAACTTTTTCATTTTTTGCAATATTCACTACGTGATTGTTATTGAAGTTCTCATGACAATAACAAATCCCGAATTGTTTTATCACGTAACGTTTCCGAAAAAATGCATGATTTTACGGAAACTTAGGTATTACATGAAAAGTAAGAACTAAGAAATTTTACTAGCTAAACTGGTATTTTCTATTTTAAAAAATGAGTACTCATAACACGCAAGACATGATTGCATTTTGTGATCCGATATTTGGTACTCGCGAATTTCTAGACTGTACAATGTATAACTCGGAATTATTTCCGAATCGTTGGTTCATACTTTCTCGTTAATAACTTCGTTATTAATAATCGTAGAAAAAAGTAAAAGAAAGTTTACTCAGAATTTACCCTTTCTCACACTCTTAGAGGAGAATCATGAATTCTGGGACATCCTGTATTCTGAAAGGCGATGGAACTCTAGTAAAACCTTCTTCCATTTTCTGCTCAAATATTAACAAAGTCCTGAACGAAAAAGTGTGGCCCGATGGTAGTATTGGTGGAGCTTTAATTACTCTGGAGACTTACGGATTATTTTTGTTTGGATTGGGCGTGTTACGCCAGTTGTAGAATTGTTTTACTGCGTTTTTCACGCAATCCTCGTGACCCAAACTGCATGCCCAGCTTAACACGTCTATGCGGGTGAAAACTGTCAGTTGAGGATCGCCAGGATTATCTATGAACCCTACTTGCTTGTATACGTTGTCCAGCAACTTCAAAATGTATACCTACAAAAAGAATGCACGAAACATTTATTTTTTGGCTGATTTTAAACCTCATTTTTTAGACATTTTTTCTAAATCAATTATTTCAGATTAGATTTTGACATATATGTTTTTATCGATATTTAAGATGCATAACAAATTTTTTTAAAGTAAAAGCAATCAAAATTACGTGAGTTATGTTTTACTGAGACTGTCTTACAACACTGTTTACATGAAATCTCAAATCCTAGGTAATCAATTGACTTGTTTGTGAAAAATCTGCAGCATACGTCCTTTAACATTTATCACTTTTTTTTAATTTTTCAACAAGTTATAGCCGAAGAAAGNAGCTTGAATTTATATGACAGATGGAATTTGTGTACTGTTGCTCTACTATACTGCAAGATTTACTTTTGTAAATAATTTTCAAATAATTAACTGATAAAGAAAATTTAACGATTTTTACTGATTTCACTCATTTTTTACTGAACCACTTTTTATCCCTACAAATAATTTATGGATATATGAGAAACTGTGATTCACGTGGTGACAGGCCGGTAATCAAAATCGTTGCTTATTAAGATCGCCTTAAGAATTTGCTATTCCTGTCTATCCCATATTTCCAGTCTCTGTCTTGTACAGGAAACAGGGACTTAAACAAATGCTTAAGACGTTCTTAAGAATAAGCAACGACTCTGAATACCAACCATAGAGAAGAAAGCGATATGTGCTAGTGAGGTGTCTGGAAAAATATCTTTATTACCAACGCCCCTTTCAATATCGAAAGACATGAAATAAACGATTACTGCTACTATATGAGAAACTATAATAGAGTAATTAGAATTTGCATTTACTCGATATTTATCGTAGCTAGGCATTTTGATCAACATATCATCCAGATAGTGCATGGCAGTGAGAGCGGCCTTCCACGGCAAGTATTCAGTCTCGTGTCCCAAGTACGATGTGACGTCTAACGCGGTAGCATAATCCAATCTTCCAGCCCTGGCCAAGTTCAGCGCGTCGTCTATCAACTGAGCCCGATTGATCGTCGATATATCCTTGAAGGATTCGCTTTTCAATTGCCTGATTATCATCTGCCAGTTCATCTTGTCGTAATTCACTCTATAGTAACCTAGGAAAGAAATACATACACAATTACAATTATCCGTCTACTGTGCACCGTCCTTCAAGTCCATGGAGAACATTAGGCTATGGATTGAAATTAGGGATGAAGAGAAGTAAAAAGGAGAAAGGCATGAATAAGACACGTCAAGAGATAGGGTAGAATATAGAATCTATGTATATTAGAGTATCTATGTATATTATAGAGCATAACACCGGAAAAAGGGGTCCAAAATGTATGAAAGGGGAAAACAGAAGTGCGAGAGAGACGAGAAGAGATTAGGAAACTAATAAAGATAAGTGGCACAGAAGAGAGATGATACAAGGTGACATATGAAATAAAAGAAAGGCATATAGAGAAAGACTGAATAAGAAAAAGGTGAGAGAGAGAGAGAGAAAGAGAGAGAGAGAGAGAGAGATCAGCAGAGGCATTAGGATTTAACGGACTTGATGGAGTAAAACTGTACCCACGGTACCCAATGCAGAGTTAAAGTGTCAAGGACATTTAAACCCACGCATTTTTGAATAAATATTCATATTTCCCTTTATTAATTGAAATTATGGTTTCAACAAGTCAAGGAGTGACCAAACTACCTCACGGTACGACGGTGATTTGGTAATGAGTTAATAAATATACAATATTTACCAGTTTCTTGAATATTTAAAATGAGCCATTCCGCGCGTTTCAGATTCAAATCGAGCGTGATTGACTTTACGGCTTTCATCCACTGAGACGGCCGCGTCGTATTGAAATCTAGCTGACTTTCAGTAGTGTAGGTGATCGGTATCCACCAAAGTGGTTCAGAAGCAGACATGGTCGTTATGGTACCATTGCGAAGCATGAAACGTTCCTACAAGCCCAGAAAATAGATAAAAAAATCATCAAACTCGCCCTCGTTTCTTTCACGAACCTGATTTAACGTTACACCGCCGTTCTTATAATTTCTGGAAACCGTCACCACTGGGAAACCGGTTTGTAAGGTCCAAGTGTCCATAATCTCCTTTATCGTCATCGAAGAGTCAAGAACTTTGTCTTTGTGCGCCTGTTTTGTCAACATATCCCAAAGATCGTTTTGCTCCGCGTTTTGGTACGCCCTATGAGAATGACATAAATCCAAATATAAATTTCATGAAAAAATTTGCAGTCTAATTATGCACGAAAGGATACTCACTTTGCATTCAGATAATTGGTCAAGCCTTGTTTAAACACGTCAGTGGTGAGGAAATGATCCATCATTCTTATTATGGAAGCGCCTATTTAAATATGATCATTGTTATACTATTATATTACAGATTAAATAATTAAAATTTATGTATAATTTAATAAAGAGAGAGAGAGAGAGAGAGATCAGCAGAGGCATTAGGATTTAACGGACTTGATGGAGTAAAACTGTACCCACGGTACCCAATGCAGAGTTAAAGTGTCAAGGACATTTAAACCCACGCATTTTTGAATAAATATTCATATTTCCCTTTATTAATTGAAATTATGGTTTCAACAAGTCAAGGAGTGACCAAACTACCTCACGGTACGACGGTGATTTGGTAATGAGTTAATAAATATACAATATTTACCAGTTTCTTGAATATTTAAAATGAGCCATTCCGCGCGTTTCAGATTCAAATCGAGCGTGATTGACTTTACGGCTTTCATCCACTGAGACGGCCGCGTCGTATTGAAATCTAGCTGACTTTCAGTAGTGTAGGTGATCGGTATCCACCAAAGTGGTTCAGAAGCAGACATGGTCGTTATGGTACCATTGCGAAGCATGAAACGTTCCTACAAGCCCAGAAAATAGATAAAAAAATCATCAAACTCGCCCTCGTTTCTTTCACGAACCTGATTTAACGTTACACCGCCGTTCTTATAATTTCTGGAAACCGTCACCACTGGGAAACCGGTTTGTAAGGTCCAAGTGTCCATAATCTCCTTTATCGTCATCGAAGAGTCAAGAACTTTGTCTTTGTGCGCCTGTTTTGTCAACATATCCCAAAGATCGTTTTGCTCCGCGTTTTGGTACGCCCTATGAGAATGACATAAATCCAAATATAAATTTCATGAAAAAATTTGCAGTCTAATTATGCACGAAAGGATACTCACTTTGCATTCAGATAATTGGTCAAGCCTTGTTTAAACACGTCAGTGGTGAGGAAATGATCCATCATTCTTATTATGGAAGCGCCTATTTAAATATGATCATTGTTATACTATTATATTACAGATTAAATAATTAAAATTTATGTATAATTTAATATGATATAATTTTTGTATAATATTATTTCGTTTTACCTTTGTTGTAAGAAATCCTATCGAATATCTCACTGATTTCATCAGGATGCTCGACTTCCACTGAAATCTGATGCGAGGATTCTAAAGCATCCAAGCCAAAAACAGTTTGCAATTCATGCACAACAAATTGTTCCAGGACTTTCCACGTTGGTTCCACCTGGAGAATCGAAACAACAACAATATGCAATAATAACGTAAATACAAAAGTGAATGAAAGGTGTGAATTTAATTTGTTATTTTCACATTATTATGTCTGGAATGTCACATTATTATGTTATGAACTTACTGCATTCATACCGATGTTTTCTACATAACTGGCGAACCCTTCGTTCAACCAAAGGTCTGACCACCAAACTGGAGTTACCAAGTTACCGAACCACTGATGAGCAAGTTCGTGAGCTATCACGGTAGCTACTCGTTGTTTGTTACTGCTAGTCGAAACTCCTTCTTGATACAGCATAGCTGTCTCCCTGGAAATGAAATTATTAAATCAGGTAAGTCGTATTCACAGTTTTCAAGGCCATAAGCGTAACGCCATTACAAGGCCTCCATAAAACAAGCCTATTTTAATTAAACAAATTCATTAATATATTTTAGAGGTTTATTAAAAATGAAATTTGGTATAAATTGTTCTAATAATACAAAAATAGCACATCAGTAGATGAGCTCTATGAATTCTATAAAAATGTATTGGGTGACGCAGCATCCAACAACTTATTTTAGATACAAAAAACTANAGCAAAACTGAACACACGCTATTTAAAATTGAATAACTTTTTAAAAATTGAACTAAACGACTTGACCTTCTTTGACGACTTAAATGGATACAAAAAATTGTGAAAAAACTAAATTTGGTATGAAGCATAATGGCAAGAAAAAATGTACAGAATAAATTAAAAGAGAATGAATATTGCAATACTCATGTAATAAAAGAAATGTCTATCTAAAATAAATTTTTAATTATAATTATATACTATTTTTAATTATAATATTTAGTATAAAAATTTAGTATACATAGTATAAAAATAGAAGACTATTTGTGGAACAAACCTGCAGGTAATCAAGCCCCAGTTTTCCATGGCCCCAGCCGAGAAATCGGGAAGAGCTACGCTGTCCATTTTAGGTAACGGGAATTTGATCTTGAAGTAATCCTCGTAGTATTTGAGTATCCTTGGGCCGATATCCAGTGTGTAACGCGCCTGTTCGATGGCCTCGCTTCGTGCCCAGACTCTAAAATTCCCGGACTCGGATTTCAACATCTTGAAGTCCGAAACGATGAAGGCGACCAGATACGTGGACATCGGCACCGATCGTTCGTAATGGTCCCACAAGTACGTCGGCAGGCCAGGCCTAATTAAACAAATACATTCAGAGTAATCATTTCATATGATAATATCGCATGTCGCACGCATCAATAATCAAGAGAAGCACATCACAAAGTAAATTATATACATGTACAAAGTTTAATAAAAATTGATGGAAACATAAAAAAGTTAGACATGTAGAAACACGTAAAAATTCTCCAATTTATCTCAGTTGTAGACCGCAGAAAAAACGTACGATTATTTTAATTTTTTGTCATTCGTAGCTCATAGCAATATTAAAACTTTGCATATTTATCATACTTATTTAAATCTAACATGTTTCAAATTTTTAGAGACTAAGGAAATTGAAAATCCCATTTACTATTTTATTCAAGATTTCGACGAAGAACAACTTTCTTACATTTTTTGTTATATTAAACTAAGTCTTCTAACACCTCAAAGAATATTAAATTGTTTGGCACAATAATAAAAACTTTATTCTATTTAAAAATGTGTACGAATATTAATTGGGGTATATGTATATGTCGTATGTTCCACTTCGTTTAATGGCTTTGCATATTTCATGTGATCTAAACGCCGGATGAAACTCCAAAAATGCATAGTGAACTACGCTTTGAAAATCGTTCAAAGAAAAACATAAATAACCGAACGAGCGACCACCAGTTTTCCAGTATAAACGAGTCTACATTTTCCTAATGCAACTACTTCTTAAACTGTGGCCTAATTTCAAGCCAGATGGGAATGTACTATCTAAGATCTATGAAATTTGTAAATAGTTGACTGAAAAATATGAATAAAGAAACAAACGACCATCTAAAGTTTTCCAGTATAAGTGACTCTGCATTTTCCTAACGCAACTGCTTCTTAAACTGTGGCCTAATTTCGAGCTAGATGGGAATGTATTATTTAAGATCTATAGTGAAATTTGAAAATAGTTGACTGCAAGGTATGAAGAAAGAAACGAACGACCATCTAAAGTTTTCCAGTATAAGTGCGTTTGCATTTCCGTAATGCAACTGCTTCATAAATTGTGACATAATTTCGAGCCAGATGAAGAAATATTATATAACATGTATGGTGAATTATGATTTGAAAATAGTTAATTGAAAAGTATGAGGATAGAAACGAACGACCATATAAGTTTTCCAGTAAGTGGGTCCACTCTATCCTAATACAACTGACTCATAAACTGCGACATAATTTTGTGCAGAGTGGAGTTACTTGCAAGACTTGAATTATTCAATTGTGTGCCGTATCATAGATAACTACTTTATAACCGGGATAATTTTGTTCGAAGTAGAACTGCTTCCAAGACTTGAATTATTCAATTGACCCGCCATTTATTATACATTTTACACAATTATCGAACTCGATGATTTGTGGCTGATAAAATATACATTGTCATTTTTAATAAAAAAAAAATAAAAATTTGAAGTCTAACAATAATCATAAAGTCGTTTACGTATATCTACAGGGTGTCCCGGGTTTTAATGGACAAACTTGGGGAGTACATCCTACATGCGAAAATAAGGATGAAATTATGTTACTGAAATGCAACAAAATTATGAAAAGATTTATTGTGTAATAAGCTTCATAAAAAATCGATGTCAACCTTGTATTTGCGCCCAAGAACAACATTTTGAAATAATCCGATAAATACGTTCGATCTTTCAATATTAAGTAAAGTAGAACCCGTCGTCATCAATTCTAACTTTACTTGTTTATAACTTTGTAATAAAGCATTTCTGAGAAAAATTCAAATAACATTTTGTTTTTATTTTCGCAAATAGGATATGCTCCCCAAGTTTGTCCATTAAAACCCGGAACACCCTGTATAACAGCAGATCTTCGAATTGCCTTGTTACTTTTTTTCTACGCTAACTACGATTAACTTTTCCGAGTCGCATTACTGGATCTAATGAACAATTAACTTGAACCGTATGTCTCGCACAAACAAATTGATTACAGAGTTAACGAACACGTTCTTCACCGAGTTCTAGAAATTACCTCCGCGTTCAACTCGAGTAAATGATAGGAGTGTTACATCCGTCTCATGGTAAATTACCAGCTGTAACATGCTCCCCGCGTGCTCACGGAAATGCGCAACCAACAGTTATTACGTGGATTATGCCTACTTGATAAAAAATTAAATATATCGAGGTATAATGAAACAATACACTGAGAATAATAAATTGCAAATTACTCAACAAGTAGGATTATTTTGTTTATTTCTTATGATTATTCGATCTGTTCATTATGATTGTTTAATCTGTACGTTATAGTTAATCGAAACTGCGGATTCTTATGCAAAAGAAAGAGTAATTAAAAAGGTGCCTCTTATGTAACAATAATATATATTCAAGTTCTGAAATATTATATATAATAAAATTACGATTTTTGAGTTTCCATCATAGATAGAAAAAAATAAAGTTTTCAAAGTATACGAGTTTCCAATGGACATAAGAAATAGAGTATCCAATGTATTAATCATTTTGTTGTAAGAGATATCGAAAAATATTTTCAAGGAATTTTTGTCATTCTTTTACATACTGATAGAAAGAATATAACTTTCAAATTCATTTTCTTTCTCTCAACTGCCTAGTTCCAAGTCTCCTATTGCGGGTGTTTGGACTATTTCTCACATGTCTATGCTATTGGCCTGCAACTGAGATATACAGAGTGATTTAACGTTTGCAACCCAAATATCTTTGTTGTTTTTAAAGATATGTCAAATGTTTTAAGAATAAGGTTGAATGGTTCAGTGGAGCTCACAGAATACCAAAATTATTTCTATGTTTATGTCATTTTTTTTAGAGATAAGAAGGTCACCTTCATTTATTTAAATGGAATCACCATTTTTTAAACACCTACGATAATAGTACCTTCTTTAAATGGAACCACCATTTTCTAAACACTTACAATGATAGTGATTTCATTAGGAATTCAGTGACTATAATTATTCAAGGTCATTCAAGGTCATTTCAGAGTTCGACGTTCCTTCAGAACTCGTTTACAGCAATGTATCGATGTAAATGGCCATCATTTCAAACATTAATGAAATACATTTCATACTTCAAATCTTATACATTTTCTCTAACCGTAACCTTGAATGACCTTGAATAATTATAGACACTGAATTCCTAATGAAAGGGACTTTATTGTTAAAACATTTGACGTATCTTTAAAAACAACAAAGATATTTGAAATGCGAACATTAGGTGACTCATCCTGTATGTATGTATAGCTTGATTAGTAGCTTGATAGTATAGCATCTTAATACTCATAATAAGTATTCTGTATGTTTGACTTTTGGTTTTGTTACAAATAATGAATATTAAAAATCATGTAATTAGAAGGAATGTCTAAACTTAAACATTGACTGACTTAAACACGGAAACATGAAATCTCAATGTTAATTATTAGAGAACCATTAAACATATTTTCACCATTACATCTTCGTCTTCTGTACAGATCAACATCAATTGTTGCACCAGATGATTAAAAATGAAAAAAATCGTAGGTTTACACGATTTTCATCCTACAACTGAAATATATTGAAGAATTTTTACACGCTTCGTTGCGTTCAATTTTATGTACCTGTACATAACTTGTTACGTCTGCAAAAAACGTTTTATTGGAAATCCAAATGAAGATAAGTCGCGTGTCTTATTTGTTCTTCGTAATTCCGACCAATGCCAACTTTTTGTCAGATATTATCTAGTAAACTAAATCTTCTCACATTTCAAGAAAAATTGAGCTGTTTTGTCTGATATTAAAAAAATTATTCCGTTTGAAAATGTGTTCGAATATTAATAGAAGTATACAATTTGCGCACTGTATACAATCACGTGAAATTTCATCATGTTTTATTGTTGTCACATGCTAAATATCAATGAACCATAAACGAACCGATCAGTATAAATGTACATCATATTTCTAATTTTTTATTATCATTTCTGATTATTTCCTAGTGTATGTAATATTGATTTTCCAGTAGTGTGAAGGACGGACGAGGATTGAATTTTCGTTGCAAATTCCTTAGCACCTAATCAAGCACGAGGCTCGTACGAGCACAAAACTATGCATATACACACACATATACATGTATATGTGTATATAGGATGTTTGCAAAATCGTGGTACAAATGGCAAGGGAAGGATTCCTCACACAAAATCTAGTCGAAAACAAGGAATATAGTTTTTCATACGTGGTGTGATTTTCGAGAAAATGGAGTTTGAAAGTTTGTTTGGTATGTGTGTACTTAGACAGAGTCTACTTTATTCGCCCGATGTTTATTTGTAGATTCACGTGAAAGAAATAGTTTATGCCCAAAATAATCAAAATCGAGACCAATTAAAACATAATATCGTTCAGGTATTCGAAGCACTTAAAAACTCGAACACATTAGTTTCGATTCACGCTTTACTAATTCATCGAGCAAGAATTGCCTACAACAGCAAGGAAGACATTTTTAATATTTGTAATTTACTAGAATAAATCAATTATTGAATTTACGGCTAATTATTAATTAACACTAGAAAGACTGAAACTTAGTATATACCTATAT